AGGGAGCCTCCCCACTCACTTCCTCCTTGCTTTTAAGGTCTGACTGTGCAGCTAGAGCTGGGATATGGGGATCCTTCCTTTCCTATTTCTCTGTCAGCTTTTGTCCCACTCAGCCAGCTCCTCCCATCTCCTTTTCAATATTTGGGTCCAGGTTGGGGCGCTTCACCTTTTACTAGTTCCCTAGCCCTGCCAACTGGAGCTGTTCTTCATCCTCAAAAGTCGGGCCTGGGGAAGATCAGGCAACATTTGCCAGGGCACAGATTTGGGTGCCTCAGTTTACCTCTGGTCCTCAGGCCCATTCTGATTGCTGCTGGGTCACCAGGTGTTGCTGACCCATGCTCAGGACCTGAGACCATAGAAGCTGGGAGGAGTCTTCCAGGTCCTCCACAGTTGGGGTCACAGTGGGTCTTAGGGATTGGACAGGAGAGCAGAGACTCAGTTGGAGCAGGACTCAGTTCTAAGCCAGGGTAACCTTTGAAGAGAAGAGGGGGAGTGCCAGGGCCTCAGCGTGATCAGCCACAAGCTGGCAGGGCTGAGGGACTCCACTCTGTTGTCCACAAACACAGATGGGCTGGGAGAGCCAGAGGGAGGTCCTGGTGGAATGTGGCTTATTGTTAGCAGCAGGATTCTAAAGGCTTTGCAGGACTGCAAGGGATGAGGCCTCATGAAAGCATGAGGGTCTGTGGATCTCCAGGTTTGGCAGCTTTAAGACATACTTCTGTTGTTGGCAAAATGGTAAAGAATCCATCATTAGTCGACAGGTGGGAGCCATACCTGGCCTTTGGGACTTGGGTGGCACAGCCAACAAGAGTCAGTGACCTTAGCCCAGAGGTTAGATAACTGAGTCTAGTCACTTTTAGCATATGGATGAAGTACTGAGTGGGTGATGCATCACCATGACAACTTTCAGTCTGAGGAGCCCTGACTTAGGCCCTCCTTGGAGAAAGAGGCATGCTGGTACACCTATAGCTCAGCCTAGGCCCAGATTCAAGGGTCTGCCTCAGGGGTCTGAAAATCAGGGACAGAATTCTGACTAGTCAGAAGGGTGTTATAGGTGAGGTGTTTGTACCAAGGTGATAGTGGGGGGCAGGCTACCTGGGGGCCAGGCAGTGAGCCAATGACTCCAAGGAGACTGGCTCAAAGCCACTGGGTAACTTGGCGCCAGCACAGCGTGATTGGACCACACAGGGCCACCTCCACAGATTCACTTTCGAAGGAATCTGCCTTGCTGTTCTGTGGCCCAGCCAGAAACAATAGTTGGAGGAGGGAAGAGAAAAGAGACACGGTTTCTAGGCTGTTCTTCAGCTCTCCTACCCTTGGCCACACCACCCCCAGCATTCCTTTCAAAACTGACCTTCCCTTCTCAGCGCTGAGCGGAAGGTAGACATGGGAAAGGGCTGACCCTGTCCCAGATGGACTCTGCGTGAAGCATCCTGCACCCTGGGGTCCCTGTAGCCCCTACTTTATGTGAAAACTAGAGTTTTGTCTTCCAGCCTGTGTGCCTAAGAAAACTCCAAGCAAAGAGAGGGATTACTGGCTCCTCTGGCTTCCAGTCTCTATGTCGGCTAGGACTCTGGGAACCACAAAGGTCCCAGTTGGAAACAGACAGTCTGCTCCCTTGGCCTGTTTGCTTAGCCATAGTGTGGGGTGTTACATGGATTGGATCCTACACTTTCCTCTAAGCAGCTGTAATTCTAGACAGGTAGAAGATGACTCTAACCTGAGACATTCTAGGAATAATGCAGACACCTGGACGTTTATTTGTTCATCTTCTCTCGTGGGCATCTAAACCCCAAAGGTGCATATCCAGTCTCTCCTTCCCAAAGCTCATTCTCTCCATAATTTAGGGCATCCAGCTTCTTGAGAAGCCTCTTTGTTCCTGTGACTGTTCGGGAGCAGAGGGAAACACTGAAGTCCCTAGAAGGATCTATGATAGGCCCTTCAGACTTGGAGTACTTCAAAAGCAAGGTTTTGGTGCCCTCTACTGGTCACTTCTGTGACTAGCCGTTTCTGGCTATGTTATCCAGGTTTCACAAATGTCTACTCCAAAACAGCTACCCGCTCCCAGCGACACCCAATCCGAGTTTGTGGGAAGGGTCCGCATGGGGTCTTCCTTACTCACATCTAGGCTCGAGATCCACCAACTAGTGCTTGATGCTGCCTAGTGCCAACTTTTCTGGGTAGGTTGATTTAAGAGCTACCTGGTTCTGCAGTGCTTCCTACTCCTTGGTTCAGAATCCTTGCTGGATATAAGGATCTCAAAGGGTAAAAATGGACCTCGGTATCCCTGACTCTATCTCTCATATCTCTCAGGGCCTGTTCAGCCCAGGAGAACATGAGTGCAGTAAACATTTGCTGATAATCTGAGAAAACAAATACGGTCCCTGGGGCTAGGCTGAGGTACCAGCTCATTTGTACCCAGAGACAATGCAATCTGGGAGAACCAACCTCGAGGCAGCTATATTGAAAGACCATATTAGCTGTCTGGAAACCTGTACTGTGAGTAGCATAGCACTGAGCATAGCAGAAGAATGGCTGCCCTGGCTCCAGGCCTCAGTCTCCCCATGTGTGGTATTAGTATGAGTCTCTCCATCCCACTGAACCACCTGAACTGCCTCATCAACCCAGGAAAGAGTACAACACAGGTATACTGGCTATCCTTAGTAATACCCTGGCCCTCCAGATGGTATGCAGAGGCAACAAGGGGCCCCAGTAGGGTTGGGGGGGTTGTTAGGGATTAAGTCACATAAGACACAGCCCTAGCTCAAATACCAAAGCAACAACATAGCTAGCTGGGTAAACATGGTTATCACTGCAGGACCCATGGACACGGGATGCCTGATTCCCAGGACAGGAAGGAGCTCCCGTGCTGTGGGGCTGTGCTGAAGGGCTCGGAAAGGCCAGCCAGAGTACCTGAGCCAGGTCTAGGACTAACCTCCATGGGTTAACCTGGGGCTGAAAGGAACATCTGAAGTCTGACTGGGATGTCTGGAGTTAGCACCCAGGGTGATGCTGATCAAAGACTGAGTCTGACTTGACCTCTACTCCTTGGGACTGGTTCACTTGGAGTGGTTGTTTCTTGTCTACTCTTGGAGGGGTTGAGATGGACACAAGCCCTTCTCTACTATTCTGTTTCCTCTCCTCAAGGCCAGTAGGAAGGAGAGTCCTAAATTAGACTTGCAGCAGGCCTCAGGAAGGTATGTGGGATGTGCCTCAGCTTGGACAGGTTAAGGGTCCTGAGGGCAACCTGCCTCTCCCTTGAGACCGGAGTCAAAAGCTGCAGGGGAGAAACCATAGATAGGAATCTGGATATCTGGACCACACTTCTGTGCTCCCAAAACCACATAGCATGGGTCCACTGCATTTCCTGAAAAGCTTGGCTTGCCTTACAATGCCCAAGGACCCAGATTCTTGTTCCCTTCACCCATGACTCTTATACCTTCCAGAGAGTTTGTGGCACTTGAACAGTGGGGTGCCCTATCTGCTCACCCACCCAAGACCCAGGCAGTCACAGCCAGCAGCTGTCTGGAGGCTCAACAGACTCCAATCATCCCATTTTCTAGCCCCTGCTTCTGCTCTTGCTCTGCAGAGATTCACATACCTCCACCCCAGCAGGGCACCACACCCCAGGCTGTGCTAACTGACCGCTGGAGTGTTCCATAGAAGGATCCCAGGATCATCCTCCTTTCTTCTTTTGGGTCCAATATCCATCCATCCAACCCCATACTCACTTCTGGCTTTCTTTTTTCAGGGGCAGGACTTGCTAGAGGCCTGTGACATTTCTCTATGTGGGCCTGTAGTATTGTCACAGAGAGGAGGTGACTGGGAAGGGGTTCTTAGGACTGCTGGAGGAGGTGTCCCATCCACCAAGTACCAGCAAGAAGGCCTATGTCTAGTTTAGAGACCTGTCATCCTGGCTTTGGGTGGAGTTTTTAGGAAGACACTGATTGGTTTGGCTTGGGTGGCAGGCACGTCAGCCAGTCCTTGGGGTGGTCAGGATCACCCTAGGCTTCTGAGCTCTCACCTGGTGGATAGGTGGCACACAACCTGGGCTCAGAGTGCAGAAGAGAGACACTCTGTTGAGATTCCCCAAAGATCTAGATATTATGTGGCTTTTTCTTAGAACTGAGACTGTTTCTAGGGGACTACCAAACAGTTAGGTTCAAGAAATCTGATGAGAGACCCTACCTAGCTGGAAGGAGGGGCTGAGAAGTGATAGGAGACCCCAGCCCTAGGCCTGTCTCATGGCCCACATTGCTTGGAACTCACAACTGGCCATTCCTGAGAAGTGGAGTTCTGGCTCCTGCCCAGTGCTTATGGGAATCCTTTAGTATGTCATTCCACCCATGTGTGATGCCTGTCCTGTTCAGAGCACTAAGGGTCACTTGGACAGTCTGAGAGCAGTTGTGGCTGTTCTCTGTCTTCCCAGAGCTGGGATAAGCCCTTTGAGAATGCCTTCCATGGCCTTCCGGCTCAAGGTCCCAAGCCCAGTTTCCACCCATTCAGGGCTACTCCTACTAAAATAGCTCTGGGAAAAGAATTCAGGAAGGCTAGGTGGGAGTCGTTGTTGGAATATTTTGGTCCTATTTCTTATAAAAGTTCTCTGGGGCCCTTGAGGATTCAGGGCTATAGAGCAATGAATTATCAGCTCCTAGATGCCATCCCTCATGCCTTCCAAAGACTGTTAGCTCTTCTCTATCCAACTAGAAACATCGGGGTGAGGGGCATGGCCTTCCCAGACAACTCAGGGTGGGGGTTATGGGCTACCTAAAGGTGTTGGCTACCTTGGGGAAGGAGCTGTCTATGTTCCATAGAAGAAGAACAACTTGTGGGAGGTGCCCAGGGAGTCAGGAGAAAACTGGGGTTGCAGAAAGCACCAAAGAAGTCTTGGGTAGACCCTTTAGGGGCTACTGTGGTCAGGCAGATAGATTAAGCTGTGGCCACCCCAGCCAGCCCCACTCACATTCCCCCACCCCACATATGCACATGCACAGCTTTTAGTGCTCATTCAAAGGTTTTATTCATTGCAGAGGGGTGGGCTGGGTAGTGGTGGGCCTAATTGCAGTAGTTCTCCAACTGGTAGAGGGAGCAGATGCTGGTGCAGCACTGATCCACAATGCCGCGCTTCTGCTGGGCCACCTCCAGTGCCAGGGTCTGAAGGTCACCTGTCCCTGGACCTCCACCCAGCTCCAGTTGTGCCACTGCCAGGGAGGTCGTGTCAGAGGAGTCCAGAGCATCAGCAGCACAGAAGCAAAGACACATAGGACAATCCAGTCAGGGGTAGGTGAGTAACCCCCTGACTACTCCAGGTTTTCTCTCACCTTATCCCCTAAGTAAGCACAGGTGGCAGAAGTTGCATGCATGTGGCACAAGTCACTGGTCATGGATGGACACATGGGCCTCTAAAGCCTTCATATCCTCAGTCAGTGCAGTGCTCTATGGGGGCCCCAAATAGGTGCCTAACCTGGGGCCTAGCCACAGGTCCCAAGTTACCCACACCTAGGAGCCTTAAGGCAAGATTCTCATTCATTTCTGGCAGCTGCCATGTTTACATATGCTTAGCTGCCCACAGAAATCTGTCCCCACTCCCTCTTTACCCTGAGATCTTCTACACCTGGGACACAATTTACAAGGTCCCAAGGGCAAAGAAAACCAGGGTAGTTAGCACTGGGGACAGAATTCAGGGGTAGAGCTCACCTTGTGGGTCCACCACTTCACGGCGGGACATGGGTGTGTAGAAGAAGCCACGCTCCCCACACACCAGGTAGAGAGCTTCCACTAGGTGGGAACCACAAAGGTGCTGTTTGACAAAAGCCTTGGCTGGGAGGGGCTCCCAGAGGAAGAGCAGGACCAGCAGGGGCAGGAAACGCATCCAGAGGGCCATGTTAGAACAATGACCTGGAAGATAGGCAGGGCTGAAGCTAGCAAAAGGTCCATGTAAGAGAGGAGCCCACATCTTCCCTCAAGTCCCTGGAGTCTTGGCTGGGGAGCCAGGCCCACCGAGGAGAGTACATACCTGCTTGTTAATGGTCTCTGATTGTAGCTGGTTACTTAGGGCTAGGGGTGACTGAGTCCCGGCTAGCTTTATAGTCCAGAGCACCTCCTCTCTGCCCCCTGGACTTTGCTGTTTGGCCCATTAAGGGCTCCAGGTGGGGTGGGTTGGCAGATGGTCAGAGGGACTGAAGTTGCAGTTTCCAAACACTTGGCTGGTGCTAGGTCCGCAGAAAGTGCTCACTGGACGTCAACACCTCTACTTAGCTCTAGGGTAATTAGAGTCTTAACAAGGGGCCCGGATGGCATGATGAACCAGTTCACAGCAGGGGACATTGTCCCAGAGAGGGTGATGCCTTCTTTGTCCTTGGCTGAGCAATTTTCCACCTCATTCCCCAGGAAGGTGCAGTTGTTGGGGACCTAGTATCTTTGTCCCCTAGACTGTTTCACAGTTCCCATTGATAGCTGGGTCCTTACCTCAGCTGAGACTCCAGCTCACCCTCAGAGGTACAAGGAAAGCAACCCTCAGGCATCAAAGCACTTAATGATCCCTTCCACAAAGCCATAGCCTACTCAGGGGTCAGCTGGGCAGTATCCAGTAAAGCACGATTTGCACCTGAAGGCCACCAAGTCCCCATAAGTGGTACTTGCTTCAGAGCTCAGAACCGGCTGTCTCCATCTCTTAATGCGTGCTCTACCTCAGCTAAAAAATCTTTCCCAGCCTCCACTTTGAATGGTTGGGGGTTCCTTGACTCTTTCTGTTCCTGATTTGGTACTTCCCTATTCCCCAGGCAACCCCAGCAAACCCCCTTGGTGTCATTGTATGAGCTAGAACTCTACTCTATGCAAGGTTTACAGCCACTAGACTTGAACTGTGGGCCCTTTGCTCCCTGCTCCTTGTCCCCCAGAAAGTGCTGCAGCCATTCACACTCTGGGTACCTGGGACATTATAGTGGACCCACTGTAGCAGAAGATACATGAATGCAAGAGAAGAGCAGGCAAGGAACTCAGGCGGGATCGGGGTGGGAAGACCGGGGCAGTGTGGAGGGGTTCCTCAGGACCAGAGGGCCTTGCTGAGGGTCTCACTGGGGCTCCAACCTCCCTAGGACCTTTTTCTTTTGAGAAAGGAGCCTTGTAGTGTAGCTAGGTTGGTCTTAAACGCAGTCTTTTTGCCTCAGTCTCCCAAGTTCAGCTATACACCACCACTTCTGGCTGTCCTTGGAACCTTAAAAAGGTTTAAGGTCTTTGTTATGGTTTTTTTTCTGTGATATTTAAATTCTTTCTGAGGTCTCAGTGACACACAGGGACAAACCTGAGCATCACCACAGGGCTTTAAGCCCTCCGCAGGACCATCATGGGAGCTCAATGCTCTCCAGGGTTCCCATGAGGAATGACACATAGCTTGTCTCTTAAAGGAGTTCATGGATATGCCAACTCTGCAACCGGCTTACCCCACTACAAGGTTTCAGCAGGGCCCACAGTCTATTTCACGGTCTCCCTGTAGCTCAAGGCCTTCCTTGAGGCTTCAGATGGCTCAGCAGCAATCCCACCCCCTATTTTTTCCCCCATGAGAGTTTCATTGTGGCTCTGGGCTCTCTCTGGAGTCTCAGCTGAACAGATGCCTTCCCCAGAATCTCTTGGAGGTTTTAGAGTACATGTAAAGGCAAGGGCACCCAGAGACAGCTCCAGTTTCTCAGTGGGGTTAAGACTTTCTCTAGGCATTTTTGGAACTTACAGTCTTCCTCAGAGTCTCAATACGCATCATGGACCTGCATTATCACCACTCTTTCAAATTCTTACAGTTTCCCCCAGGGGGCTAAAGGGACTTAGGTTTTCTCCAGATGTTAGTGAAACCCAGTCTGCTTGGGAACTCAGCAGGGCTCACACTGCCTCCCTGGCTCTCATCCAATGTCATGGCATTCCCGAGGATCCCAAGGGAGCTTAGGGCTATAGGACCTCAGTGGGCCTCACTGATTTCCCAAGATCTTAAAAGGACTTAACTCTTTCTGCCCAAGTTAGTGCCTTTTATATCCCTGTGAATGAAGCCCCCCAAAGAAGCGGCTTTGAGAAGGAGAGGTTTTATTTCAGCGCATGGCTCATCATGGAACAAAAAACATGGTGGCTGTAGTTGGTCTGTCTGAAGCAGTAGAAGCTTGCAGAGGTGCTGGCCAGGAAGCAGAGTCAGATTGGAAGCAGGGCTGGCTGGCCTGTAACCCTAACACTCACTCTTCTGGCTCTTTGTGTATCAATCAGGTAGGCTCCATGTAGAAAAGGTTTCACAATCTCCCAGAATAGCACTACATGCTAGAGACCAAGTGTTCAAACACACAAGTCTGTGGGGGACGTCTCACACTCAAGCCATCATACCACAGGCTCAGTGAACCTAAAACCTTCCTCATGATTGCTGTGGGGATCACAGTTTCTCTCAAAGTCTCAAAGGAACAGAGAACCAGAGATCTCTGTGTAATGTAGTGCTTTGAGAAGGGTCTCAGCACAGCCCCCTGTGTTCTCTAGGTTTTCAGAGGGTCTTACTCTCTGTCCCAGGGTCCTAGATTCTTAATGATGCCCATGCCTTCTCTAGGCACCAGCAAGGTTCATGGCTCTCTCCAAATTCTCACTAGTGTATTGTTGTGATTCACAGACTTCCCCAGAGCCATAATGGACCTAAAGCCTTGGCACTTCAGTGGAGTTAAGGACTTTTCTTGGGCCTCAGGAAAGGCCAGTCTTCCTCAGGATCATATGTAAGATTGAAGATCTTACTCAAGTTTTAAAATGGTTCCAGACTCTCCTCCAGGTCTTAATGGGGCTCAGGGATTTGCTAAGAGTTTTTGAGGTCTGAGGCCCTTCTACACTGTCCTAAAGATGCTCCCACCCTTTTCAGGGTCTTCAATAGCTTCACAACCATTTCTAAGGTTTCAGTATAGCATGAGAAATTTCCAGAATCTTAGCAATACCCAAACACTATAAAATGTCTCATTATAGGGGAGAAGGCTTTCTCTAGAGTATCCGTGGGCCTAAGCCTTCACCATCATCTCACTGGACTTTATAGCCTAAGGTCCCCATGGCCTCGGGAAACACCATCATCTCACGAGACTTTATAGCCTAAGGTCCCCATGGCCTCAGGAAAGCTCACAGACTTGCCTGAAGTCTCTGCTCTTCTTCTTTTATGTCTATATTTTAATTAATTGATTAGTTTGTTTCCTTCCAAATGTGGAAATCAAATGGCAATCCACAGGACATTGAGGCCCTCTTTCCACAAAATGAGTCCTAGAGGCAGGCACATGTCATCAGGCTTAGTACCAGACACCATTACAAGCTGAGACATCGTCTTACGCCCAGATGGAAGTACTTCTTAAGAGCCTAAAACTTTCCTAAGGGTCTCACATAGGCCTAAAACTTACAGGTGGACTTACCAGGCCCTAAGTTCTTTCAAGTGACTGAATGAGAGCCTAAGGACATCTTCACAGTTTCAATCTAACACCTTCCACAGAAACTTACTGGGTCTAGGCCTTAGCAAGGTCTCATGGGGCTTAAGAGTTTCCCCAGGAATTTATTGAAGTCAATGGCTTTTCTTAAAGCCTTACTGGAATTCATTGTTTTTAATAGCTGAGTAATACTCCATTGTGTAAATGTACCACATTTTTTGAATCCATTTCTCAGTTGAAGGACATCTGGGTCCTTTCCAGCTCCTGGCTATTATAAATAAGGCTGCTATGAACATAGTTGAACATATGTCCTTGTTATATGTTCGAGCATCTTCTGGGTATATGCCTAGGAGTGGTACAGCTGGATCCTCAGGTAATGCTATGTCCAATTTTCTGAGGAATCGCCAGACTGATTTCAAAAGTGGTTGCACCATCTTGCAGTCCCACCAACAATGGAGGAGTGTTCCTCTTTCTCCACACCTTCGCCAGCATCTACTATCACCTGAGTTCTTAATCTTAGCCATTCTGACTGGTGTGAGATGGAATCTCAGAGTTGTTTTGATTTGCATTTCCCTGATGACTAAGGATACTGAACATTTCTTTAGGTGCTTCTAGGCCATTCGAGTTTCCTCAGTTGAAAATTCTTTGTTAAGCTCTGTACCCCATTTTTTAATAGGGTTATTTGGTTGTCTGGAGTCTAATTTCTTGAGTTCTTTGTATATATTGGATATTAGCCCTCTATCAGATGTCGGATTGGTAAAGATCTTTTCCCAATTTGTTGGTTGTCGTTTTGTCCTAGGTAAATGGATGGAACTAGAAATTATCATCCTGAGTGAAGTAAGCCAATCACAAAAGAACACACATGGCATTCACTCACTGATTATTGGATATTAGCCCAGAACCTTGAAATGCCCAAGATTCAACTCACAGGCCACATGAAGTCCATAAAGAAGGAAGACCAAGTGGGGATGATTCGGTCCTTATTAGAAGGAGCAACAAAATACTCAAGGGAGCAAATATGGAGACAAAGTGAGGGACAGAAACTGAAGGAGGGGCCGTCTGAAGACCATTCCACCTCAGTATCCATCCCATGTGCAGTCACCAAAGGTAGATGCTGATGTGGAAGTCAAGAAGTACATGCTGATAAGAGCCTGATATAGATGTCTCCTCAGAGGTCTGCAAGAGTCTGGCATATTCAGAGGCAGATGCTCACAGCTAGCCATTGAACTGATCATGGGGTTCCCAATGGAGGAGTTAGAGTGAAGACCATTGGAGCTGAAAGGGTTTGTGGCCCCATGAGGAGAGCAACAATACCAACCAACCAGAGCTCCCAGGGTCCAAACTACCATCCTGGGAGCACTTAGGGAGGGATCCAGGGCTTCAGCTGTATATGTAAGAGCAGCGGGCCCTGCTGGGCATAGGTGGGAGAAGAGATCCTTGGCCTCATGAAGGCTGGACGCCCCAGGGGGTGGGAATTGGAGGGTGGGGAGGTGGGAGTGGGGGGGGGTAGGTAAGGGTACATCCACAGAGAAGCAGGAGGAGGGGTGAGGGGAGAGGGGGTTCCTGGGTGGGTGGGGGATGGGGTAAGGGGACAACATATGAAATGTAAATAAAACATCCAATTAAAAAAAAAAGCCTTACTGGAGCCAAAGGC